CTTAATACAAAGTGGCTGAACAAAGAAACCCAGTTCTAACTGACTCTGTTAAGAATACCCACAGATTTTCTGCTATGCAAACTTTAAATGCTTTTGCAATCAGGCACCCAGTACCCTGTAGTACTGATTCCACAGTGGCTCCTCTTGCCACCTCTGTATCATTTTTTGCCAGACAAGCACAGAAGTGCTGAAACATAACACTGTCCAAAACACCTTTAGGCCTGGTCCTGTCCTGCATTTTTCCTGCAATTTTACATACAGAAAAGTACTTTTTCAGTCAAGTAGATTTTTGACTGCATAAAAATATCCTAGTTCTGACTGTGTGCAGATTTGAATGTGCTTAATAAACAAACACTGAGATCAACCAGGGGCATTGCAAAGTGTGCAAAGTCAGGTATGTATTCAAGTCTTCCTCGGAGTAACACCTGTGTTACAAGAAATAAGTTTCATAAATATATCCACAGATTAAATAGCGGGGCTTTTACCACAAAGGGCTTGATCTTATTCTTTTTACCTATTCCGAAGTTCCTGTTTACTCTCTTGGGTCCTCTGTGTAAGTTGGATGAGGATTTCAGGAACCACACAAAACACCACACAGAAAGATTTTTAGATTCTCTATTTTTTAGCATTTCTACACAGTACTAATGTCTCGCCAACCCTATTCAAACTGATCAAGGTTCAGAGCTTGGGGTTCTTCCTCAGTCTGTGCTGGTACAAGCTCACATTCAATTCACAATTAAAACTAAATAGTAGCCTTAGCATTTACCTTACTGTTTTTAATGTGAGGGATAGTGTTGTATGGCTTTTGTCTCATATTCTTAAGGAAACAAAAGAGCTCACAAAAATTATATGAGACAAATTAGAGAGTTTTAAGATTGACTTTTATTGAAAAATTAAAACTGCATTGCATATCTTCTTTATAACTTTGACATTTCTTAAACCACAAAACAGAGATTCTGTTTAAAAAAATCTCTTCATATTTATCACCATTCAAAAAACAGGTTGTGAACTAAGTCAATAATGATTTTAAAATCCTGGGTTATTCCCAAGGCCCGGGTTCCGTCCGTCTGTCATGAATGGTATAATCTAACTATCTTCTCTAAAAGTACCTTTAATAATACAATCAGAATTTTTCTCATTCAAAATCAACAGCTGCCGTTGATTTTTATCCAATGGTCAGTCTTTTCCAAATAAATTACCTCAGTTAATAAGCACCGCAGCTACATGTTCAGCTAAGATCTTGCCTATTGTTCATTTGATCTGATTTCACCCACACAAAATTAGTGATTGTTCATGTGATTTTAAAGGCAAAATTGCTACCTTAGAGTATATTTTAAACCTCAGAAAAACAAAGTTACTCACCTGGAATTGCAATGCTTTCAATTAGTCAACACTTCTGTATATCCATACTTCCTGATCTCTCACAGTCAATAGTGTATGGATTAAAAAGCAGGAAAATTCCAGGTAAGCTTTTGTCTGAGAAGCTGTAACATATTACTCAGATGAAAATTACCTACTGAGAAGAAAACACAGATGAGTTTTCTCACTGATGACCATAACTGCTCTGTTAAAATCGGCTAACCAAGTCGGAAATGAATATGAGCCCTGTGCCTGTGGAAGCAGTACATGTAATAGAGAAACACTCCGGAGTCTGATATTAGAATTAAAAGCTTTGCAAAAATCTAATTGTGGGTATCATCTGTGTCAAGACACAACACTGCAGAAAGGCAAGATAAAATGCAGAGGGTAGGAAGATAAATTTAAACCCCCAACTTTAAACACCTCTGTGATGCCTGTTTCAAAGTGAGACAGTTAAGAGGAGCTCCATTATTCCCACCTAGCTGCAAACCATCAATGGCAATAGGTAGAACCTCTGACGCTTTTGACCTCCAAAACACAAGACACTATTAAATGAAGAAGCAGAAATTTTAGTGAGCAAAACATTGTATATATGCTGAAGAGATCTAGATCTATTTCTGACTACATCACAGGACTGTCCAAGGTTTGCTGTATGAATGCCAGTAAGCCATATTATGGTCTTTCCTATAGTTTCACAATCAGTTACATCAGGATGATTCTCTGTAACTAGTTTATACGCTTCTAGGAGATATAACATTTCAAATACAATAAATTATTATTAGAATATTGAGATGATGATCTGGATACAAGATCCATGAGGTTAAAATATTAAGGTTAGAGGATTAAGGGTAAGTTGGGGTCTTTAGTAATACTGTTGCTGAAATATCTCGACTAGGGAGGTGGAGGAAGTCAGAAATTCCCACCTAAGAACTGGTTGAAGAAATCACAAGGACCGTGGTGCTGCTTGTGTGGAAGATGTAAAATCCCCTAGTGAAGCTAGGTCAGCAGTTATACAACTTTGCACTGATTATACTAGTTCATATTGTTTCTCATAAACAAGAAGGACTGAGGGAAATCTTTCAATCTTCTGTAGCTGCCCTTTGAATAAAGTAAAACAGTGACAGAGACCAGATTTCAGGCAGACGTCTGTCAATCAAAATGTGACATGTACTTCCTCTTCAAAACAAACTTCTTTCTGTACTCTAAAAAGAGGTCTCAAGGAGATGCCCTCTAGTTTTGATGAACAGCTGATATCTACAAAGAATGGCATTTAATATTATGGAAGTTGGTACTGAAGTCAACGTTCACACTGACTACTTCTATTGCAGGCCTCAGATCATACAGCATGGATGTTTACATCAAGAAATGTTAAGTATTGAAGACATGGTAAGATATCAGGGTTACAATTAAGGAAGATTGAGGTTTAAGACCAAGAAGGCAAGAAACTAACTACACCGTCTTGAGGAAAATAACCTAGTGAAAGAAATACTGTACTGGTGAGATTACTGGGGGGTTTCATGGCATAAAAGTAACGATGTAGATAATCTTTTGAAAGTCATACTCATAAATCTAAAAGACAGTGACAAATTTATAATAATTTTTAGATTCAACTCAAATAATTTCAATAAAAAGTTTTACAGAAGGTTACAGAAGAGGGATAAGCAATAGTCCTATGAAAAGCTGGAAAGGCTGTGCTATATGATGTGGCATTTACCATGACAGCTTCTTCCTTCTCTCTGCTCTGACCCAGCCAAAGATGTGAGATGGTATCCTCAGAAGACAACCAATGGGACCTGCAGGATGGAAACCTCTCCTGGCTGTAGCTGTCCTTCCACAGGACTGACAGGGGCCAGAGAGGCTGTGAAAACTGCATAGCATGACTGCATTTCACTGAATGTTTGTAAAATAATTTAATTTTATTACTGATTTGGGGAAAAAAAAACAAGAAGAAAAACCAATTAATTACTGACTTGCATAGAAGACAGCCATAGAAGCATGTATGAAAAGATTTGAAATTAGCATATTCCATTTATCACCATGACAGTAACTCAGCAGACAGAGGATTATTGAATCTTCATTTTGTTCCACTACTCTGCTGCCAGTATGGAGTTTTCCACTCGGTAGTATTGATTATCGAGTGATTAAAACTGAACAAGCTACGGATGACTCTGGTGTCTATACTCAGAAAAGTCTAGCCAGTTTAAACTGTTGTGACAAGCCAGCTGTATTTAAAGATTCTGAGATTGCTTTTGTTTTTGTTTATTTTATAAGCTCCAAACGCATAGTGAATTCCATTTCACTGAAAGAATGACGCTGGTTAAAACTCCCACAGAAATGCTATACACCTTCAGGAATCTTCCCACGGAATTTAGTTAAAATGGTCATAGAGATTAGTCCTGAAATACAACTCAAAAACAGGGGCCTTGGTTAGCAAACCAATATTCACTAGGAAAGCATTCAGAACACTGAACAGACAGTCTGACATTACAATAAATAAAACTGAAAATTCTAATAGATTAAAGGGATCTCATCATTTGCCAGTCTATACACAATATTAGAATTCCTTATATTCAGTAAAATTATCTATAAGTTATTATTTTAAGGGCACTAGAATTTAAATAAAAGTGTCAACTAATATTTTTGTATTTTTTCTTTGGCTCACAAAGACACTAAAATACCATAAACATTATTTAGAACTTCAATAATATATAAATAGGATACATTACAAATGGAGGAAAATACAAGACAACTCTTCAGCATGGTAAATCTCTGCATATAAATAAGCAAATATTTCATATACCTACAATTCAACAGTTATCTTGCTGTAAAACTAGTACATTTAAATCCTCTTACACAAAGTCATTTAACAATAATATACACAATCTACACAAATTAACCTCTAAAAATACAGCAATAATATACTTGTTACAACGACTCTGCTACTATTATCCCCTGATGTGACACTAAAGGGGAAATACAACTATTTTACTCGAAGGTGCTGTTAGAGATTGCTGTTTTGTATGTGAGAGAAGCACCAACAATAAGATTTAATACTGTTACACATTTTCTTTAGCTCCTAAGAACCTACATTTTAGGAATGTTTCTATATGTCTATTTTTACCTGGCAGAAAAATCTGTAGCACATTATCCACATCATTAGTTGTTGAAGGAAAAGTTAATTCTCTTAAAGTGAAAAACATGCTGTGGCTTAGATCTAAGTGTATAACCACTTTATTTTTATATATATATATGTATGTATATATATATAATTATATATTTATTTATA